ATGAGCCTAGCTTAGCCTAGCATAGTATAGTATTTCATTTGAATATAAATGTTAATGAAGCAATAACAATTATTACTATTATTATTATTATTACAACTACTATTAACGTTCATTAGGCTTGTATATTATATTCTATGCTTGATATTCATTTATATGCTAAAGAAGAAATATAAAATGAATATAAATGAGTGATAAAATTAGACTGAGCCAAATGTAAGCAAATTTCACAAAATAAAATTTCAACTACTAATACTTTATTTTTGTGTGCCTAATTAATTATCAATCATTAAAATTAAGTATAAATTAATTTTATACCAAATTTTCCATTGTTTATTGTTTATTTATTACATTTCAAAATTTTCTACTCGACGAGAAAATAAATGCTGCAATAATTTTGCATAAAAAATTTTCTAAATTTTTAAATAAAGAAAATGAAGAATGGAAAATAACATTGTATTGAAGAAAATACTGAATTATCAGAAAAGAGTTTTAAAAAATTTTTATAAATTTTATAAATGATGCTGACACTATTATTAATCTGATAAATGATGCTGGTACTACTATTAATGATAAAGTTATTATAATGCTGGCATTACTATTAAGAACAAAGTTATTATGATACTGGTACTACTATTAACAATAAATTTATTATGATTCTGGTACTACTATTAGCGATAAAGTAATTATAATGTTGGTACTACTATTAACAATAAAATTATAATGATGCTGGTAGTTACATTTTTCATCTAGTAATAAAGTGTTAAAAGTTTTAAACAGTGAAAGGATAAATTTAATAAGTGGTACGAAATTATCAAGCGAAATCTATACAACCAATAATATAATTTTTTCATGAAATGAAATAAATAAACCATTATAGATCAGAGAGAAAGAGAGAGAGAGAGAGAGAGAGAGAGAGGGAAACAAAGAAAGAAATTGTTGAAAAATTGTCGTAAAAATTTAGGGCATTATTGAGAGAAATTTCAGGTTCCTTAAAATCTATCTATCCTTCATTTTACCATTAAGTCGTAAAAATTATTTCGGACAAATTAAATGAATTAATTTTTGAAGACTATTTTTAAAGCTTTTCAAATGGAAAGTTTTATGGAAATGAAATGTGAATATTCAAATGAAAAAATGGGTGGCAAAGATTTTTTGGATGCGCGAAATTTTTAATTCACTGAATTTTACAACATATTCCTTCTGATAATGCAAAAAATTTTCTTTTCTTTACTTCATAAAAATATCATTTCATTTCATTATTTGCTGCCAGCTGAAATGAAATTTCCATTACTTTAAGGAACTTCTAATGATGATAATCAAAAAAGTGAAAAAGGTCAAGAAGCTTAATTATTTTGACCTTTTTTCCGAAATTTTATTTTTATAAAAATAATTTTAAAACTTATTTTATATTTTGTTTGATAGTTCTTGCTTTAAATTTACTCACAAATAAAGGAAAATCTAATAGAAGAAGTACACGAATGTTTAATTTGAATTTTCAATAAAGTTTTTGAATAAGTTAAATTGATAATAATCCAACTTGGCTATCATTTTCACGAAATTAATTGTGCAATCTAATTAATAGATGATATGATGATAAATTAAAATAAAACAATAAGCAATCTAAGAATTGCTAAATGTTAGAGTAAAAATTAAAATTTTTTTGTTAAGTATTTTTACTACAATGATATGTAAATACCATCTGCAAGTTTTACAACTACCTGACACATTGATATCTTGTCCTGAATTATTAAATTTAAAAATTAATAATTTCAAGAGAATTCACTCAAAAAATATATGCCAATTTGCTAATCTAATAACTATTATACATATATATTATATCTTTCTACAAATAATTACGCAAATTTGATTAATTACTGTAATTACTTTAATAACTGACTGACATTAGCTATTCAAATATATTTTTTGTGTAATCTAGAAAAATTTAAAATCTGAGCAAATTTTGAGATAATATTTTCGCAAAGAGTAATTAGTGAGAAATTTTAATTATATATATTATAATTAAGGATTGATTTAAATCAATCATTTCTCTACATCGATTAATAAACTAAAGACTAAAAAATTCACTTCATTAATAAAACTTGTAGATATGAAGATCAAAGAATAAAAAGCTTATCTAACAGATTTATAACGCTAATTAACAAATTTGTAACAATAATTAAGAGCATGAATCACCCAAAAAAAAGAAAGAAGGAAAATAGTAAGGTATAGGTAAAAGGGGTAAAGGTATGAAATATATAAAAAATAAATGAGTGATATTCAATGAATGCAGAAAACTTAGATTTGTGATGCTAATTAACAAATTTAACAAATTTGCAACAATAATTAAAAGCGTGAATTATGCAAAGAAAAAGGCAGAGAAGGAAAGGTAAATGAAGTAGGTAAAGGTATGAAATATATAAAAAGTAAATGAGCGTTATTCAATAAATGCAGAAAATTTAAGGAAACAATAAATCTTTGTTGTTGAAAAAAGTACCTATTTGGAAAGTTCAAATCTAAACTTCAGAAATATTTGTTAACTTTTTTTAAATACATTTTTCAATTCAAATTATTTTCACATCAACGCATATACTTTGAACAAATAGATATCGAAAAAATTTTTTTACCTTTCAATAATTATAATTCATTTCATTGTCCTTCTTTTACTTTCTCATTTTCTCTTTTAATTCTTAAAACCTTTTTTTAACAATTTCAATTTTTTTGTACATAAATTGTCAATTAGCTTTATTCAGCTTACTGTAGGTTTAATTTTATTTTTTGTTGTATGCATAAATTAGTTTAACTTTTTAAGCCTTCTAATGATTGAATTTGAATTTTCATTTCTATTGAAAGTATTGATTTTTTTATTGAAGCAATTTGTTGTTGTAAATGTTGCATATATAGATGTACATGATTATCAAACATATAATGTAGATATATAATTTATCCGAAAATATCCCCTATGAATAATTTGCGCTCCATTAATTATAGTTACAATTAGTTAAGCATCAAAATGTACCTTATTGAAAAGTACTTAATAATGATAAGTGTAATTTCGTTCTAAATTATAATATTTACCTGGAAATATTATATTTAATAAATACTTTTCCGTATTTCAAATTTCACGATGGATATATTCGATTGCAATATCGAAGTACGAAAACTTATATGAGAATCTGTTCAATGCTCTATTTATTATTTTAGATAAAAATCAGGAATAAAGCAGAATTTTCAACGTTCAGAGCCTTCATTACGACATACCGCAGTGTGAAATATTTAACAATTACCCTATGTCATCAGTAGGAAGTTCACCTAAATGTGATAACTTTATTACTTATACATGGAATTTAGATATTGATCGCAAAACTTGTGGCATTCTTTTTTATATTCTATCTTGATCAAATTAGCTCCAATGAAATATTGATGAAAAAGTGTGTTCAATGATTTATTAACTTTTACTTGATTAATTAATTACTTGATTTTTACTTAATTATCAATAGAAATTTTGTTCTCATATTTCGGAATCATTTTTTCATCGAAAAAGGCATCACAAAAGCTTTCCTTCTTGTAACAAATTCTTTAATAGACTTCTGTAATCAAAGGATTGAAAAGCATTTAAATACAATTATGTGCATGGAATACAATAATTTCTTAACATATGTAATATTTTTGAAACCTAATAATGGCAAGATTAAATAATGTAATAGGATCTATATGATCAACCAAGCATAAGTATACCTCAAATTGGCCAGCAATATTAATTTTCATATTGTCCATAAAAAGATATTAGTAATTGAAGAAACTCTGAAAAAGATTAGTTTTAGGGAAGCAAAAATAAATGTTTTCAAAATTTAAAACTTTAAATAGTCGTCTGCGACTAAATGCCACTATTTTCCAATACTGATCTCTCAGAATGTTCAACTCTTTATTACAAGCTGTTTACCTGACCGTATTTGAAGCAAACTTGCGGTCTTTTAGCTGCTGAAGAGCGGAAGGTAACGAATTTCATTTCTTCAACGAAACCTATGAAATAAAAACAACGTATCGGTGAGGTTTCCAAAAATAAGGGTCAAATTTGAGCTAAAAATTTTCCAAATTTGAAGTAATGAATTTTCTCGTCCTTTGATCATGTTTAACATAGCTACACGTTTACTTCAAACATGAACCAGAGAGAGGGAGAGAGAGAGAGAGAGAGAGAAGTCTCACTTTTTGGTCGTAAACATTTGAATTTCCCCCAAACCAAATTATGAATGTCCTACTTGTCATTGTCTTGTAATTGGCGTTCTTTCAAAAACTTTTAAAATAGGCATTAGCTTCAGCATGGAGTTTTTTGGTTTCATTCCTAAGAACATCTCGAAAATTTTAATCCAATTTCTTGGACGTCGCTAGCCAGGAAAGTTTTCAGATTGGAACGCTATGATAAAGCGATAATCTCTCATTCATACGTTGTGGCACAATCTATATCATAATTTCAAATAATAAACGTATACTGTCGTAATATCTTTTGAATAAGTCAATATTTAAAAACCGTTTCCTTACTAATAATTTAAATAAAAAAATGCTATTTATTGAAAGCTGCTATGCAGTGATGGAAGAAAACAGGAAGCTAAAAATCCGGAAGAATTTTCACACTTATCTTCTGAAGCAACGGCAATTACTCAGAACGGCCAGCTCCCGAAGTAAATAATAGGCAAATTCCAATCTTTTCGTTCCCAGTTTTTTGGTAATTTGCGGTCCGGATATTTTCGGAAGCTTCGGAATTTTTCGCTGATCGTAAGATCGGACATGTTCGGAGGACTACATTCTTATCTGCTTGATTCATTATTCTTGTATTATTTTAAACTAAATTCCATCTTTGAATTCATTTTTATATTTCACATTTATTTCGTAATACCGTAATTAATGAAGTCTCGCGTGAAATTTGTTGAAATAAACTGATTTGTATTGCAGCATTTTGATGAACTAATATAACTAACCGGCAAAAAAGATCTAGCATTACCAAAATGACTGGTTACGATAAAATACCGCAATATATCTATGACAGCGGCTATCGTAAGTATCATAAATTATTACTTATTAATTAATGTAGAGTTGAATTGTGTTCACTTTACTATCGATTAGAAAAATTTATTGACAAAACAATTGGACCAGTGAGTTCATTTCTTGCTTAATCAAAAATTAAGTAAGTTATATTGTTTTCTTGCATATTTGTCGTAAGAGATATTTAATTTTTTGTTTATAGAAGGTTTTCAAAATATCAATGCTTCACGTATTCTGAGAGATATTACATTCGTGAGGTTAAATCTGGAAAATATTTGCATGAATGAAGAAGATGAATTTATCATGGAGGTGATCAGGAAACGATCTTTGTTTGGGTAATCTTTTTTTTCTCTAAGTAATTTTCATTCTTTTCATTAGGTGCGATTTATTGACTTAACTTTCACCAATTATCAAAAAATTCTGTACAGTAATTAATCAGGTAATTTTAATGACTTTATTGAAATTCCATTCGTGTACTGCTTAACTTTCATAGTTCAGATTTATTTTGGAATATCAATTTCCATCAGTGGATGCTGCTTCTACTTCATTGAAAGCAAGGGTTCGCATACATGCAAAATCCTTCAATGGTAATATCATTCATTTCCGACATAAACGCGTTATACGCATTAAAATGATTCCGGAATTGGTCAATTTATGGAAACGATCACCATTACTGTTAGCAGTTTATGCAAAATTGAACACATTAGGAAAATATTCTGTTAGTTTAATTTTTTTCAAACTCACTTTATCTCTCTATTACGGTTTTAGTTAATATCGGCAAACAATGATAGGAGAATCTTGAATTAAAAAAGGCTTATTCTTTTTTTTGGAGGAATTGTTTTTTTAGTGAGAATGTTTGCCATCGAAATTCCATTGGAAGAAATGGAAGTTTTCAATTTTTATTCCTCGAAAACTTTCGTTCTCAATTCAGTTATTTTTTTGTTTCCGTAATTTATTTTTTCAAGTAGTCGATACCAAGCACCATCGATATTATTAACCGTTTGGTGAAGAAAGATGCATACCTATTCCCACATTTCTTTTTACTTCGTTTTATATTTCAGATCAGTTTATTCTCTGCAGACAATTCATTACTAAAGATCTGAGTATAAATGACAGTTCAAATATTCGTGCATCTTCAGATTAAAAAACTGGGAAGCTGTGAAGTGCCTTTGGAGGAACTTGTTATTCCTCCTTTCATCATCTATCGAGATTTTCTGTTTGCTGGTCCCGGATTTTCAGCTTCTGCCTTAGTTCGTTTCTGATTGGGATTTGTTTGATTGCTTATTTGAAAGGAAAAATTTAATTAGGTTCACTAAATCTTCCGGTATTCGTAATTTGCTGAGATGCTTTTCACCTACTATTGTTAAAAAATTTTTTAAACAAAAATTTTGTTTAAAATTCAAAGGGAGTTATAATTTCGATTCTAAGTCCTGCTGTTCAAATTTGTCAACTAATTAAATTGCCATAACTTTAGTACTGCAGATAAAAATCGATCTTGGATCACATGTACGATTGTTGATGGAAAGGCTAGAATGGATGAGAAATGGTAAGTTACCTCAAGATGGATCAGCTACTCGTGCCAGATCGAGATCTTCATCCAGAAAAGGATCAATTTACGGTTCTAGTCGACTAACATCTCCACTACCACAGCGTCGTGCTTTCTCCTCATCTCCTCCCTGTGTTTCAAGAATCGCTGATCAAGTTGAGTTTCTTCTGGCAATTTGTATTCTATCTTGGGATATCGCTTTTGCGTTTTATTTTTTTTTGTTTAGTTTCGGACATTTCGGAACTTAATTTTAACTGTCCTAAAAATATTTTAGTGTTGAGACCATTTCCTCCACCGCTGAATCTTGGTAGTAGTCCACGAAATACTCCGTTGTCTTCTCCTCAGCAATTTAATGCTCCGCGTGCAGCAATACGTGAGCTTTGTCCAACAAGTCCATCTTACCGAATCAAACTAACCGTTTATTCGGCTCGTCGTTTGCCTCTTTCATTCAATTCCAGGTTATTTTTCTTTAGTTTTCAGATCTTTTTTTAAAATCATTTTTTTAAAGGAAATAGATACATCTTGCTTTATTTTACAGAGGTGATGCTGTTGCGCCATCAACTTATCTAACGGTGATTGGAGAAGATGGGCGGACTTTGAGTTCGCCTGTACGTGCTGGAACATTGCATCCAGAATGGAACTGGACAGAAACATTCAATGTTCGTGAATCATTTTTTTATAGCTCATAACTTTATATAGAGAATGAAGTTGCGAAGTAAAAAACAAGAAAGGGTATAGCCTTCTAATCTTTTGGATCATTTTGCAAGTGTAATGAATGTAGATTTTGAATTTTCGAGTTCAATTGAGAGCAAATTTTCTACCTGTTTTAGGTATCAAGAAGTCGTCAGAATTTGGTAGTGAAATTATGGAAACGTTGTGTTGTTGGGTCAGATAAAGTAATTGGTTTTATATCACTCCAACTGCCACCTACTGAAACAGGAAAATCGGAATACGAAATGTCAGATTTATCGATTTCAGATCAGGCTCCGCTGATTACGGTAAATATTTATTGTATTATTGCGGTTTATGCCAGGATTTGAAAAAAGCTTGGTTGTTTTGTTTTAAGCTTTTAATTTGGATCGTAGAACTTTTTTGTGCTGCTAATTTATTTCTTATTTTGGATGAGAGATGAATTTAGTGAATTTACTTTTGTGTCACAATGATCTAAGGGCTAGAGAAACACTGTACACATATACTTTTATCAATCTCAAAAGGATTGCTTGAAAAATTGTTTTTTATTCAAGTTATTTTATTATGAGTATGAGCAAAAAAATTAAGTGTATATCTGTGATTTCTAATCTGTCCTTTCAGCTCTCTATTTCATGTGAAACCCTTTCACATACTGGATCATATAATGACACACCGTTATTGGTCTCATTGTCACCGCCAGTACCGCTCAGGCCAGTCCTCTCTGGAGCATCTCTACGACTACAAAAAATGACAAGCGAGGAAATATACGAAAAATTGAGGTAATACACGGGTAATTTTGATTGCTATTGGCGCATAAATCTCATAACTGAAGGTAGTTTTAGGGAAGAGCACAAAACTTAAGTGAATAATGTTGTGTTTTCTCTTTTTAAATCAGTTTTTAAATCGATGATTCAAAATGAGCTCCCAATAAATTTTAATTTTCAAAAAATTTAACAGGAAAAACATCTCCGAATTGGAACGAATGATGGCACAACTAAAACATTTGTGATTGCTACATTTTTGATTTCTGTTTCGACACAAATTTGCCTATATATTCATGTGCTCTTATAAAGAAGTCACAAAACTGACGATCCTATTAGTTGAAAGTTATATTTCAATTTTTTCGTGAGTATAGTTTGAAATTTTATTGTTATTGCCATTCGGAGGGACCAAGAAATAAGAATTATCATTGTTAAAATTGGAGATGCAACCTCTCGAATGTTCAACTGGCATTAAACATACAATATACATATTTAAAAATCTCATTTCGTTAACTATTCGTACATAGTCGCTTGAGTATTAATCCAACAAGATTGTAATGCAGCAACTCCTGAGTTATTAAAAGTTAACTTCCTATTAACCTTTGTGGCATAATCTTAGTCATACAATCAGTTTGAAATCGCAGATACTCTTATCTTCCAGGATTCTTTTCAAAATATTTTAATATGCATTCCCGGTGCATTCTACTGGTTCAGATTCAGTGGATTTGGGTTTTACTGGATTTTTTTTTGCTTTTTCAATCTTCTACATCTGTCTCCAACTGTTGCCTTCAATGTAGCTGTAAGCGAACATCTTGAAAGTGATTTGGATTTTTAAGGTCCCGTATAATTTGGAAATTCAAAAATGGGCAAATCAGATGAGACACTAAGAAATCCCAATCGTGGTCGTGGTAAGGAAAATATTAGTGTAACTCTTATTGATCTACTTTCCTCTGCAGGGAATTCTTCCCAGACCACTAATCATTGTTACAGGTATCCCGAGTAATGTCAAAAGAAGCCACAACTGTATTCCCTTTCAATGCTCTAACTATCTATCACTTTCCGCTGTGCTATTCACGCAAATTATTTGTTATTAAAATTAATAAAGTGACGCCTAAGCTTTGATTTCTTGAATAATTTAGAAATCTTGCGTAAGCCCAGAATGCCCAAAAAATGTTTCTTGTAGAGTACTAACATTCTGTTAAATACTAATACTAAACTCTTTCTTGTCACTTCGCAAGTGTTAACACGATGTAAAGATATCCAAAAATATATTAAAGCATTTATTACTCTATATAAAATGGCAAAAAAAAAATCTAGTTATTATAAACAATGAATTTCAATCAATCAGGACTTCCTCCGTTATTTATTTTGGAAGACAGTTTTGCGAAGTTCTTTCAAAACTTTAGAAAAATGCAAGAGGAACAAACTGTTTTTAGAATTACCAAAATTCAAGATCGGGTTGGTTATAAAGAGCTGCTGGAAAAGTGACACTCACTAAGAACATTGGATAGAAAGGTTGCTTACATTCGTTTAAAAGGGCTTTTTTATATTTGTTTTTAAGAAAGAGGACCAACGTGGTCAACCAAATATTTTTAATTCAACAGTTTGAAAGACATAAATAATATCAAAAGAATTTGAACATATCTCAGAAATGTTAACACTAAAAAATGTCAGATGATTTAACACATCAACATTATGGCTTACCCTTCAAAATGTGAAAAGCACATGGTCCAAACCTCTACCGTTTCCCAACAAATGACTGATTTTGCACAGTAGGCAGTTAAACAAGCAACAATTTCAAAAATAAATATATCACTTATCGAGCATTTCGAAGCTATCATCCAAACTACCGGTGAAAGTTGCAGGACTTACACTAAGCTGTTCTGTGCCACAGACTTCAATTTCTTCCACTTCTTTCTGATTCGTGTTTTGTTTTTTGCCTTTTGACCTTCCGTCTCTGTAATCTCCCAATTTCTGAATTTCCACAGTATTTCCTAGAAATTCTGCTCGCGGTCGACTCTCCGATTCAAAATCAAATACATCTAAATTTTGAGGATCTGCATCATCCGATGCATTTTGAGCAGACGATGAGATTGCGCTTTCGGAATGGCTACTGGTTGACGACGAACGCTTATGTTTGTTCTTTACTTCATATGCTTTTGAAATTAAGCCATCACTGCAAGCTGATGGTGCCGGATCTTTCGGATGAACCTTTGGTTTTTTTCTCAATAGTTTTGACTTCGGTCTTAGTGCGAATTCAGCTTCGCTTGAGTCTGAAGAATCTAAGTTCGGGAATTTCAAGCCACGAACGAAGTCACGCTCGTCTTCTGAAAACAAAAAAGTGATCATTTGCAGTTTCCTAAAAGACAAATTAATAGTTGAAGGTAAAAATTAACGACTTCCTTAAGTTGCCTATTGAATACATCTGCAATTGAAGATGAGGAAAGATCAAGGAAGATCTTCCACAGTGGCAGTCAGAAATATAAAATATACTTTCTCATCTTTGAGAAAATTGACTCATCTTGTTCTACTCAAAAATCTTGCAAAAAACATAGGAAACTAAAAACGACCTGTCAGAGGACTAAGCGGTCGACTTGGTAACGAAGGTTTGTCGGAGGCTTGTTCAATGTCGGATTCTTCATTACTGAAACCAGGTGGCAGCAAATCCGCCAATTCAGTGTCTGTGTCATCTAAAGAACTAACTGTGTCTCAAATCCAAAATACCCATTATTACACCAAAATTATAAAATTTTATTATCGTTTGTTCTATATAATTAATATATCAGAAAACAAGGAGACTTATTTTTTAGTAACATGAGTAAAACAAAAATGCAAAAGATTTAAAAAAAAAAATATACACCGAACATACCACAAAATGGCGACCTATCTGGAATATGATTGACGAAAATCTGGCAAATCGGACCCAAACAATAAATTAATAAGTAATCTTCGCAAATTTTATATTTTTTATATAGGATATCAATTATTGGTTGCAATAAAATCCGATAAAGATGCGCACAGGCCTGAAAAAAAGCTAGGAGAAGATGATTAAAATAATGTCTAAAACAAACTTTTGAATAAAAGACTCTTATTTAAAGGGTTTTTGAAAAGTATATGTGAATCATCTTTAAGAATAATTAAAAAAGATCCTTATCCTAAACCTGGCTCAATGAACACTCATTTCCAATATATTGCCTATACCTGAAATTAAAAGTAAAGAGACTGAAAGTGCATGCCTTGTTCACTAACGAAATAAATAATACAAAGAAGGGCCACAGTATATTATCGCGCACTCTCATAGCCAAACTATGCAACATTCGTTTTATATATAACAAAGCTTTATCAATTTGGTGTCCAATCCATCTAAAATGTGCAAAAAAATTTTTTAAATTGCCAAGGTGCAAATGATTGATAGCAATCGATTCTTCGACTTTTAACACCAAAATTAAGCTGCCAAAAAAATTGGCTCAGCAAACAAAATAGTTAACACGACACTATTAAAATAGCCTTAATATTTTTAACCGAGCGCTAATAAAAAGATAGAATTTTTATATACTTTCTTTCCTAATCCCCTTCAGCTTGAGGTAATTTTTCAGTAGTTTTCCGTTACAAACATTAGAAGCTGCAGTCAAGAAAAAAAAGAAATTTAAAGAAAGCATATCAAATATCCAAGAAATTTATATAAAACTAAAACGAAAGAACCCCAGAAACAGAATTTTTCAGCTGCTTCAAAATCAAACAATGAGAATATTACTCTCTATAAATTTGAAGAAAAAAAAATTTTCGAATAAAGTAGTGGGGTTAAAATTTTAGAATAGAAACCACTTACATTTCAAATGGATTCAAGACATACTGTTGAAAATAAGCACAAAAACGTCGAAAATGTCTCGAAAGAAAAGTGATAAATGGATTCATCCAATAGCCAAAGAAAACATAAACAATACCGAAGCAGAAATAGTTGAAGAGCAATTGTAGCCGGCTCACGATATGCAGAACAAACCAAGATTTGAGATTTGGCCACCAATGGGCGCAGAGCCAATACCGCAGAAACTGGACAACTGCATGAAAAGCATTCCGAACTGGTTCCACAATTTCCGTTTTCATCCATTTAACAGCGGCAGAGAAAAAGTTTAAAATTGAATTTTTTATGGTGACAAGTGTATAGCGAATATAATTCTTCGTAATAGTGACAGCGTGATAAAATGCATTTCTTGATTTGTTAAGGCACATAATTAAACAATTCTTGAGCTGCAGAATCCCGCCAATTAATCCATTTTTAAGTGTCAAAGATCCGAAAAGTATTCCATTTTTGAGAAACATTATTATGGAAATTATTCCGTTCTTTGTACTCGTTATTGCACAGACTATTCCGTTTCTTGTAGTTGTTACTGCATACATCACTCCATTTCTGATTGCGACTGCAAAAGACACATCATTATTCCTTGTGTCAATCACCCAATTAGCAGTATTTTCGCAGAAAATATTTATTCGCAAAATGCAACCCATTATAGAAATGAAAAATCTATTAAACTCACTCTTAAATCCGTAAATTGTGCATGACATGAAGTTTCCTATACTGAATAAGATTGAATTCGTAACAGATAAAATCGCATTTTTTCCAGCGCATAACTTATCAACTGCTGCAACATAGGTATTTCTTGCTGCAGCTTTTATCCTTAGCAGTTCCTTCTTAACTTTTTCTAATATTGCTGAAATTAAATAAGAGTAAAAATTGCGTAACTTCTAAATTTTTTCAACAAGAGCTCAAAAAAATTATAAGCAACATAAATACTGTTTATCTTCGACTTCCAAAATAGAAGAAAAAAGAAAAAAACTTCAACGCTTTCAAATGCTTCTGAAATCATTGAAATTTGCATGTTTCGATGACATCAAAACGACAAAAAACAGCATCAACAAACAATTGAAATCAGTATATCTAATCTTTAAAATAAGAAATGAAAGTTACAAACCTGTTAACCACCTTAACTTGACGATATATTCAACGATTCTGTAAAATGAATAAAGAGGAGAAATGATAGTTATCTGAGCAACATATTTCGTTGTTATGCATGCCGTATATAAGCACTCGTTGATCTTTTGTGGTACTTGGTGGTACACCCACACCGGGTTTATCATTAATAATGCAACTAAAAAGCGATATCCCTCCAATTGCAATAAAGTATTGGTGGAAAAGATAAGAAAACTAAAATAACAAATGTGCTATAAACAATAAAAAGTATAGCTGTTACTTTTGAGTAATGTAGTCTCCAGAATTTTTAAAAAGTCCATAAGAAAAAAACCTGCGCTATAAGCAGTCCAACATGCTTTTTCAAATTCGGTTCGATAAAGGAATTGTGCACTACATAAGGCCATCGCGACGCCTGATGTCTATAAAAAATATTAAATATTTCTGAAATTATCAAAAATGCATTGCTGACCCACACCACAACTAATGGATACAAGAAATGAAAGCTTTTGACTATTGAAAAAAAAAAACATTAGAATGGCAGAAAAACTGACCTATGACTTACCACCATAATAATTTTGTAGCTATAATCTCCTCCGTACCTGGATTTAAATTCGAAGTAAGTTATTAAAATTATGCAATTTTAAATTTAATCCAGTTAAAATTACTGAAACCAACCCTTAGCACACTTCGCATGGGCCACGTTAAGATGTAAAACAAAATACTTCGATCATAAGTTGAAGATAATAAAATATCCCAGCTAAAAATACCCGCAGCAAACGAAACCAATAAACGTAGTTGTGCTCCTGTATCCAAATAAAAGACACTCCACCTAGGAAAATAAAATTATTCTCTATGACAGAAAAAAAAGTCGCTCAAAAGATTTGAAATTTGAATGACCATCAGTGAATTAACCTTAGATGTCTTTTCTAGGCTCAATTTTTTCTATTTACAGCTTGCACAAGATCCCTCAATGTTTCTTATTATCTCACGCTACCTCCTTTATCAACGGAAAATAAAATGCGATATCCAAACGTTCAATGATTGTAAATATTTTATTTTTCATAAAATCACACGACATCAATATTGGATATTAACACGACAATAACTAGATAATATTCGTTATTTTTTCTTTGGACAACTTCATTAAAGTTATCCTTTTGAAATTCACTTACCAAAAAATGCTGTTGATGAACATAAAATAAGGTGCTGTGGCAGCGGAACGCCATTCAATCACTGATGAAACAAATGATTTTATAGAGCAGCAACCATTCCGTATAATTTCCATCTTCTAATTGCTTTACCATCAAAATGGAAACGATATGACAACCAATGGAGGTGATATAGCAATTTTTTTCATCCTTCCTACATCATAGTATTTCAGATGAGTTTAAACCTACAAATAAATGAAACTAATTGAGAAGACAAAAGCAAAAGTGTAAAATTGACAAATGTAATCAAGAATGAACGAAATTTTTATAAAGTAAGAAAACAAATTTTACATTAACCCACACTGAAGCAACAATGTAACGTCTAGATTACTATACATATTAAAGTAACTAGCAAATGCTCTTTTTCTGTTCATTCTGAATGTGCCTCATATAAAACTGAAATTAGAATAATTGAAATAACAACAACGAAATTCAAGATGTGTCATTAGACAATGCTAAATAAAAATTACAAAAACAAAAACAGCTGCTTCTAGAAGAAAGATAATTTTTCAAAGACATTGCAAAGTCGCAATTTTGTGGCATGAAATAAAAACTCCGCCAAGGATCGTGTTTCGAAATAAGTTGATTTGACTAATTCAAACATCTCTGTAATCATTTAAGGTAACTGATTACAACACAGATTATCAATTTAAGCTATCAATTAGAATATAAATAATGACTTAACTATTCCAATTAATGGTGAGTAGTTCTGAGGTTTACATACAATTTGGTTATGAAGTGTATGACATAGACTTAGAACAAACAAAAATAATGCGGAAAATAAGAGATAGCAAGTAGTAACAGGATTTAGAGATAGCAGGGATTAGAGAGTATATTAGCAAGAATTGAGAGGTTGTCGGAGAGCAGTAATTAGAAAGAGTGGAAGATGGAGATGGAAAAATATCATAGATGACTGAATTCCGGGAGATGAAAGGTAACACTGATCAGCGTGTTGGTGATTAACTTACTGATCAGATGTCTAATGATTTAACTTAGTGATGTTTAGTGATGAATTTGGGGATGTCTACTGAAGGAAGGAGAAATCATCCACTTCGAAAGTATCTTACTGGAATTTCTAGGTGTGGAAACAGCGAAATAACAACTGTTGTGATGAAAGCTGAAAGTCGAGCATCCATGTAGAAAAGAACATGTTCAGCTCGCTCTCTCACTCACAACCACGAATGTATGATCATGTAAATAATTGTAATATAAAGTATTCAATAATTATTATATTGATGACAATCATTATCTTGAAATTTGAAAACGGTCGTTCAGAATAATGCTCTCAGCGATGGCTTTATAATATTAATGGTTTCTAACTTGTTAACTGTATAATTTTAAACCTGTTTGAATAATGTAATTGGCACAAACTATTTTTTATTTCTCTGAAATTTAACGGCAACTTTGCATTGCTTAATTATTGCATCGAATTTTGCGCATACATTTAGTTTTACTTTGATATGATTGCAATAAGAATAAGTCAGACGGAAGTAAGCCAAACATTTTATGCTTTAGCAGGAAACTTTAAAAAAAAAAAAATTAGTAAAAAGAAGCTATGAAAAACTTTCCAGTTTGTAGGATATTATTTGAAATTCAAGGAACGAAATAATTATAAATACCTGTAATTTGAATTCGAACATAAAAACGTTCCATACATTTAAACGCCATAATATGTTTGTTATACCAAACTGTCAACCAGCTATGCAACTTTACGGTTTGCTGGAAATAAAATTGTGCACGAATGTAGAGAATATGGAAACAAGAGAAGCGCTTGAACATCGCCTTCAACTGCTTGGAATAAAGAATTCTACAATTCAAGAGAAATCAGACATAAAAACTTCTTTTGGTACTATTTAATTGCTTTGGTAAATTCATTGAGTTTAATTAATTAAACAATGAGGATTAGATAATGTAAGTTCTATCTTTTTCTTTTCCATGAGATTTTGAGATCATTATTGTTTAATTAATTAATTAATTAAACTCAAAAAATTTACCAAAAAAAACTAAATAGATTTTTCGATAAGATTTATCAGATTTTCTAAAATTTTGTTAATTTTTGATTTAACATCTTTAACACATGCATGCACAGGTTAATAATGTACAACAATAAGTTATTCCAAAAAATTCTAAATTAAAAATTCAAAAAAGGAAAAACATTTTTAGAAACAAATAATCCGGATAAGCGAATTACACTGATTGCGGATCCATTTGAACCGATAAGTTTTGAACAGGTTGCTAGAATCCGTCAATAAAAATGACTAAGTTTCTAATTGATTTTCCATTCCGATTTGATGTTATCGCATTGAAATGACCTTATAATACAAAGAAATTAATTCTAAAATTACTTTTGAACTTCACTAACCGTCTACGATCAATTTTCAAGGCTAAATCATGAAGGTCATCGGTACAAAAAAAAGACTGCGGAAAAGTATTTCCTGTTTTGAAATTTCAAGATGTTTTGCAGAAATTAGAGAATAAAATGATTGGAAGGAAATGCTCGGTTCAATCATGGTTATGGCATCAATATTTATTACGGCATGGTAATTGTTCCTTATGTGAGCGACCGTTTAATGGATTACATGAAGTAAGTAAATTCGAAGTTTTGGACATAACAAAAACAAATTTATCTAGCACTACTCAATAATGGCTTGCTTTAGGAAATCGTAATTTAAGTTTATCAACTTAAATAATCAAACTCAATCATATATCAATAAATTTTCGAACACTTTTATGATTCTCTTTATGACTGGAAAAGGAATATTCATTATTGTTCTACATGATATCATCAACAATTCTTTGATCCATATTTAAAGTTAAAAAACAGCTCAGCTCTAATTTTATCAATAATTAGAAGGTCGATAGAATTGCCTGCTTCAAAATCATTTTTATTTCATATTGAAAATCTTCACTGCAATTGATTTATATCGTTTAAAGAAGTGGGATCAATTCGGCAATTAAATATTCAAATATTCATGAATAATTTCGAAAAGTGTAGTCTGCTACAGGTTGTGGTAGTGTTAACATGTGCACATGCTGTACATCCAGAATGTGCACAGGAAATACATCAAAATCGAAATGGTTGTCAAAGATGTGAAGTTAGTCAAGCGGAATTAGATCACAGGAAACGAAGAGGAAGAGATGATAGAAAACGATGTTTGTGCTGGAGATGGTGTGTCCGTCAAACTCACTCACTATTGTTATGTTAAGTGATATTTTTTTAATCAGAAAAATGTGTCTCAGTTGTAAAACAAGTTTCTTCTACTCCAATAAACGCGTTTACTTTTGATACTGAATGAGATTTTCTTATCACTTCGATAACTACAAACAAGACTATTCCTCACCATAGCCATTTCCACTATCCCTGAAAACTTCTTATCTATGAATATACTAATGAAGCACTTACGAACATACTAATGTCCTCACGCATAATACCAGCCGTTACAGTGCTCTATTCGCTCTACCGATAGATTACCGCAACATAACTCGTGACATATCATATACATCAAAAGGAAAATGACGTGAATGGACACAGCAATTGCATAGTGTTCCTATATGTATTCTTCGGATACAGAGGAGGTAACACAAAAATGGCTAGAAAACGCTTCATTTAGTAATTTGCGCTTATTAAGATGGGTAGTTCACTTCTTGCATTTGTAGGGTGTAACTGGTCTTTTTATTTCTTAAATCGAATAAAATGACACAAAGCAAGAATAGAATTATTTATTCATAAAGGAAAATGTGTGACTTGTACATGGAATTGGTTACAGATGTACGTGGAATTGATTACCAATCGTAAGTAATTGAAAATGACAGAACAAATTACTGAAGAAGTACAAGCAGTGAAAGATAAATGGACCCTCGTGCCAGCATTTTTGCAGGTAGTTACACAATTCAATGAATTATGCACTTTCTTAATGTTATACATTTAGATATTTCCTACTAATTATATGTGACTAACAGTATGCTTTATCAGAAACTGGAGTAACATTTCTATGCAATATGTCTTTAAATGATATTACCATAAGTATCAATCCAATTACAACACTATCGAAACCATTGATGAGTTCGAGATGAAGCTTTAGTTGATTTAGATAAAAGTGCTAATTTGAGAATAACACTAAAGAAAGCAAGTAATGGCTGTAAAAGAATGAATCTTGAATTTTATGTTTTTCAAATCTTTAGTATCAAAAATAGAAAAAAAAATAAATAGAAAAAAATGATTCAGAATTTAAAATCAAAATCTGTTTGTAGTTAACGAATTTTGAAAGGGAAGAAACAAGTTATTTGAAATTTTGAAACGAAATAATGAAGTTTTAAAAAGCTTAAAAACTTAAAAAACTTTAAAGAGCTTAAAGAAACTTTACTGTTATAAAAGTATATTTCTCTTAAAGGTCCGCGGACTTGTTAAGCAACACATTGCCAGCTACGACTATTTTGTCGGTACTGAAATCAAGAAGATTTTGCGAGCTAATGATAGAATTACGAGCGACGCAAATCCATCATTTTATTTAAAGTAATGCATCTTCCCAAATTTGAGTTTACTTGATATCCTAAATTCCGAGAAGGAAAGTGAATGCACTTCTGTCTTCATTGCAATGATCAAATCGTTTCCAAGCAGCGATCAGTGATTTAGTTTGAAGGATTAGAAAAAAAACTTGCTTAAAGTAAACTGTATTTAGGAAAGATTTAATTGCAGATATTTGGATATCCGTGTTGGAATGCCATCAAGCGAAGAAGGTTTTAATCAAATCAACGATAAGATTAGTCCGCATGAATGTCGTCTTCGGGATATGACTTATTCGGCACCCATTTCGGTCGATATTGAATATACACGTGGCAGTCAACGTGTCTTGAGGAATGGTCTTGTAATCGGCAAGATGCCTGTTATGTTACGTTCTAGTAAATGTGTCTTAAAAAACATGGTACTTTTATGTTTTTTTGGAGGGAATTGCAGGATTCGGATTTCAGAAATTCAATCAATATCGGATTTTCATTTGATTTTTAGAGCTTGGCAAAATTATTTGAAATTAGCCTGAAAAAAAAACTTTAAGAACGAAAGTGAACTGGCACGTGTTCAAGAATGTCCATATGATCCAGGTGGTTATTTCATCATACGTGGGTCAGAGAAAGTGGTTCTCATCCAAGAACAGCTTTCAAAGAATCGTATCATGATTGGACGAAATAGCAAAAAAGAGTTGCAGTGTGAAGTACGCTAAATTTTTTACTTTAATTTACTCTTTGATTTCTGTATATTCGCATTTTTCGAACTTTTGCAGTCTGGAATTATAAACTTAGTTTTTGAAAACTCCACTGCACATAATACATTCGGCTATTTTTATTTAAAATGTTCGCTCAGGTTTATTACTGTAAAAATATTCGAACTTTAAGTTTCAAATTGGTCAGCTATCCTTCTCCTACTACTATTTTAATTCTTTTTTTAGCCCATTTTTCTTTTTATTCAAATAAGTATTAGTTTGTATCAATTTCTTGGAAAAATTTTTCGGTTCGAAATATATAAACTACGCTTCCAGGTACTCAGTTCTACACAGGAACGTAAAAGTAAAACATATATAGCTAGTAAGAAGCAACGATATTACGTTCGTCATAACCAACTTTCTGATGACGTGCCAGTAGCTATTGTTTTTAAGGTAAACATTAAGCAAAATATGGTCTAGGAAACAGCGAAACATTTTTAAACAATTCGTTTATAGGACTATCAAATTTCTATTTATTTCTTTTCTTTGTGATGTGTAAAGGTGACTTTGATAAGCGATAGAAAAAATATCAATTTCATTCAATAGTGACTTGGTTTTCGGGGTTTAGTTCTCCAACTGTTTCGATGCGTCCAGCTTGTTTCGTATTGCTGATTATAGCGGAAAATGTATATATATCGTGTTGCACATTACTTTTCTGAAATGATTTTGCAATTTATTCATTTTGTTTTAGTGTTACAAGATTTATGTTTTTGGCTACTGTCAATTTGCCTACTTGAAGTTTTAGAACATTTAGGATCTTTTATGAAACTATTGATTACTTCAGGCGATGGGATTCGAATCGGACCACGATATTGTTTCGGCAGTTGGTTTGGAGGAGAAGTTTGTTGCTGCAATGGCACCATCAATTGAAGAATGTGCAAGTCATCAAATTGTAACACAAGAAGGTGCATTGCAATATATAGCTTCAAAGGTTCCTTTTTTGAAAACATTGAAATTTCTTTTGTAGCAAGTTAGAATCTGATGGTTTCGCAATTTTTTTTTGCTTTTAAGGTTAAAATGCGCAAATTCGGCCCACTTGCTTCTGGTACGTCAACACTACCACGTGAACATGAAGCTATTGATTTCTTATCAAACTTAATGATTGCACATGTGCCATGTCCGGAAGGAAATATGAAGATGAAAGCCATTTATTTGGGGTTAATGATTAGAAGGTATGAAAAGGCTACCAGATTTTTAAAATCTTTTGCTTTCTTGTTGAGATTTCCACATTTATTGAAACATTCCATTATGTAAGTTGCTGCACTGCTTTTCAAAATTCAGTTCCTTTCAAGGAATTGTTAGGTTTTTCTTATGTGGACATATAAGAAAGCATTCAGCACGGATTTTTATTTCATGTGAATTTAGGTTACTTGGAAATGAAGCTATTCAAACAAAGAAACAGTTTAAAGTGGTATCTCTCTTTCCTTTATATTTTTCTAGGTTAATGCAAACGGAAGTTGGTGACACTGAGTGTGACGATCGTGATTTTTATGGAAATAAACGCTTGGAATTGGCGGGCTCGTTACTTGCACTGTTATTTGAAGATGTTTTCAAGAGGTTCTGCATTACTTTCACACTTATAACTTCACTCTGATTATTTGAAACACTTCAAATCACTCTGAGCGTTTCAAATCTAATAATGCATAAAAATATTTCAAAAAGATTGAATAATTGATAATAATTTAAAAGAAAAGATCTTTAGGTTCAATTCTGAATTGAAAAGAATTGCTGATAACAGTTTAGGCAAGACTCTGGCTGCGCCGCTTGATATAGTTAAACATATGCGTCAGGTTTGCCATCATATTGTCTGTATAAACATTCAAATGTAATGGATACATTTATTTAGTTTTTATTTAGTGATGATATGTTTTTATTTAGTTTTTATTCCATTATAAGGCATACTGTGCATATTTTAGGATTTAATAACAAATGCACTAGCCGATGCTTTAGCAACTGGAAATTGGACAATCAAACGGTTTAAAATGGAAAGACAAGGAGTAACCCAGGTTTTGTGGCGCTTCTTATTTCACAGTGTTCGAAATTTTTCTATTGCGAAAGAATTAAAAATTTACATATTTGCAGGTTTTGTCACGTCTTTCATACATATCCGTGTTAGGCATGATGACTCGAATTAATTCAACTTTTGAAAAAACGAGGAAAGTAAGTTTCAAAGCAATATTCAGTAGTTCAGATATGAAAAACTCGACAAATGGAATTTATCTGCAATGTTAAAGATGGTGACTCCGCTGTTTGTCTTAACCGACTCAAATCGACTGAAGAATTTAAGACATGTTCAGAACTAGATATTTTTTCATTGTTGAGCTAATTTCAGGTTTCCGGACCACGCTCCTTACAACCTTCTCAGTGGGGAATGTTATGTCCATCCGACACACCAGAAGGGGAATCTTGCGGTCTTGTCAAGAATTTGGCTCTCATTAGCCATATTACTACAGATAGTGATGAAAAAGTTTGTTAGCATTCTTAGCTTTTGGAAATGAAGATTAAGTTTCGAAAAAGATATTTGTTAAATAATTCAATTCACTTTTATGAAAGCATGTTTGCAGCCTGTGATTCGTTTGCTGTACAATTCGGGTGTTGAAGATGTTAAATCTCTCCATTTTTCTGCTGTTCATAATCCGTAAGTTTTCTCGTTAAAAATTGAGCTGCTATAAAGTGCGCAACTGAGATTATTTTCGGATGTGAGGGAAAAAATCAATTGAAAATGGAAATTCTCATTAGTTTCTGGTTTTGTAGGATATATCATATTGTTTTTCTAAACGGTGTAATTATTGGCCTAACGATTGATCCACAACGAATAGTTTCAACGATAAGAGCGGTTCGAAGACATGGCTTGCTCAATGAATTTGTTTCGGTATCCACAAATGCTGCTCAACGATCAGTTTATATAGCCAGTGATGGTGGACGTCTTTGTCGACCTTACATTATTGTGG